AAGTTTAAGGCCTCTGGCCAACACTACATTACAATCTGTATAGACACAGAAGACATATACAATCAAAGCTTTACATACAGAAATAAATTATGAATACACCATACATATACAAGTATTTCATTTACATATCTGGAAGGTTAACATTGTTATCTACAATTTCACTTCTTAGAGTAAAGGCGTTCAATAAAAATCTAGCCAGTGAGAAAATACTCTCTTCGTTCTCGTCAGACATTATACATGTAGTTGTAAACAAATATTTATTTGGAAAGCAGGATGTCCATTCAGTTCTAAAATATTTCATCGTACAAGGGGCATAAAAGTAAAAAAATGCATTTCGTCTTCTACTGTGTGAATGCCTAGTCTGAGACATAGAGGGCAAAACCTTTGGTCTCTGTCGATTTTAGTATAACGGCCTCTGTCGATCATGAGCTCATGACTTGAGCAACGAAAATTTGAAAGTATTTTTCTTTGCTTGTAGGTCAAAGGCAGTGAAAGGTATCGTTCAGGATTTAAAGCGCTTTTGTAGAGTTTATAACTGATGCATTTAGGTGATACATTAATATCGGCAAATATAGTTTGTTGTGCACAGTCTGTTATTCTAGTTCTAAATAAACTTAAAAACGCCTCTGCATCTCCGATATCGTTCGCTATTAAGCGCTTGTATGTCGCAAACAGCTGACGTCTCGTGGTGTAACTATCACACAGCAAATGCAACAATCGGTTAATACTGATTTGCATCATATTATACCAGATACTAAGACAAGCTTGTATGCAGGTAACTAGAAAACGACTTCTCACCTTAATACAACAATTTAAGTTTGTCTTGACGGCTGACTTGTCTCTTTCAGAACTCATTAATTGACTTACATGCACGTTCTAAAATGTGGATATACTTATCGGGTGACTCGAGTAAGGTTCTTAATTACATTAAAAGGATACTAGGAGTCATAATGAAATAAAATAAAATATGCTTCGGTACGTTGTGCATTCGTAATAATATTGCATTAGTATTAAAGTGAATAATGTGAAACATTCAGCTGTATTATACAATTCTATTCTTTCATTATGTTCGTAATATTATAACAGACACTAAGAGGTGAAAAGACTTCTCATCAACAAATGTTGACGTGTCACAGTTTAGATCTACGGTTGCCGTGACTAATTGACTTGACGGCAGAATTGAAAACACCTGTCTCTTTGAAATCGCATTAATTGATTTACATGTACGTTCTAAAATGAGGTATTAATGCAGTTATCGGGTGACTCTATTACGTTTCTCAATTACATTAAAATGATGCCTCTACCAAGGTAGCAGTTTTTAATCTGCACTTTTCTCTGATGCGAAGTGTAGAAATGTCCAATCATTTAACTAGAGACTTAGGCCTACCTGTGAATATCTAGAGAAAAAATCAATCTGTGGCCCTGGTATAATGTCGTAAAATGATACTTGGGGTTAAAAAGAAGTAAAATTAAATAATATAAAAACAAATTTATTTTTTATTTCTTTTCTTAATCGTTTTCCAGTATAATTCATCGGAATCTCCCTTAAATCATTGTGTGGCAAATTGTTTTTAAACACAGAAAAACCAATATGTGTGTGTGTGTGTGTGTGTCCTAACAACAATAAGCAACAATTGTTTCTTACATAGCTTAAGATCTGTGGATGCATTTCACTTTTCTTCATGTTTACCTCACGTATCAACAGTCAAAGTCTTATAACTCTTCCCCGAAGAAGACAAAAAAAAAAAACTTAGGCATTTAAGTCTCTCCATTCAGTTATTCATTTTTTAAGTTGGTCAATAAAAAGAAGCAACAGTTTACTACTATCTTACTTTTACAATTGTCAACAAAAATAAAAACAAAACGAGCCCACGGGTTGTGCGGACTATCAGGCCAAATGGTGATTACGTAATGATGACGTCATATGCCTAGACGGACTGATCACAATCAGACTGGCTGGTCATTGTTTGCCCCAAGACGCCTTGATCGCAATAGGGACAATATGATAAGGCTAACGTGTCTTACATGCCACCTTGTTGCAAGCATCGCTGAATGACGTCTCAAGACAGGGGTAGGGGAGGTAGGCATATTTCGACTTAGGCAGTGGACTCGCGTTTTTAGTAGGTATGTGTGTAAGGAAAGAAGAAGCCAGTGGACGAAACATCAGATAACGACTGCATGAAGTTAGCCTGCTAACAAGAGAGAGAGAGGGAAGGAGAGAGAGGGAGGGAGAGAAAGAGGGGAGAGTGCTGAAAACAAATGCCGTCTTCCCCGAAGACAGATGATACTAGTAAGTTACTCGCAGTACATTACCCGATTATTATACTATCCGAGTTAATGTCATTACGTTCACAGTTTCAGGTCCAGCTTGTATGAAAACTAGATGACAAAAATCGTATGAATGGGCATATTTAACCGCTGTCGGTATTAAACAAGGACATTCGTTTGCAATGGCGTTTGATTGAAAGCATAGGGCTGTTAAATATCCCCTTTCATGTTCGCTTCGTTCAATTAAGTACTTGAATACGGCGTGGAAGTGTCAAATCCGTGACATAAGAAATATAATTGACGGCGCAGACAAAATGATAATGACCAGCAATAAATTGTTGTCAAATTGATCACTTTTTTCTAAACTATTCCGGTTTTTTATGCAAAAGGTTATGTGCCAGGACCTTAGAAAGCCCGCATTTGTTCTCGTGACTCCACGATTGGGGGTCCGTCCGTTGTTGTTATGAGCTGAGGTGTATTCAGGGAATTATATCGGATATATCAACAGAGGGTATAACCAGAAAAATGATAACTCTTTCTTTCAGCATACAGTATGTTGCAGTATCGCATGTTGGCGTCAAAGATCCACTTCTACCACCGGCAATGTTGTGTACAAGAAAGTATTGTAAATGTACTATTCGAGGTACTGTTTTTTTTTTCATACTGTTAAAACCAATGCATTTTTCTACAATATATGTGCTTTACTCTTCAAAACCGTGTGTCCTACCAATTTATTTCCCGAACTATTTCAGAGACCTACGCGCCCTTTGGACAGGTACCTTTCTAGCAAGTTCATTAGAAATGTTGAGGGGGTCACTGAAGAGCGCAATAATCATTATACAATTGCAACGCGCTGAAAAAAACGTTCTTTTCAGGTCAGCATCTGTAACTATATGATTCCACGTTTTCCTTTACTTTCAGCCATGTTCACCTGCGCATATTGTCAGAATCCTATAAAGGAAAAACTGGTTCTTGCTGTAAGCGGCCTCAATTACCACAGACGATGTCTCCGCTGCGTTGTATGCCGGGAGTTTCTGACCGACATATGCTTTCGGCACAGCGGGGCACTGTATTGCAAAAGTGACTTTATTGGGTATGCATATAGCACATTTTCATAAAAAAAAGAATAACAATGAATAAGTAAGTAAACAAATAAACGCCACTGAATAATGCCATGCCAGAAAAATACTCACTGTTTAGTTTTTCGTTCTTCTCCTTCTTTTCTAACATGTCAACGTCTTTTCTTTTTTTCTCTTCTTCGTTTTTCATTATTGCTCCATTTAAAGGTACACTCCATGGGTTTGAAAATCCCCAAAATGCTTATTTTTGCCTTGTTCAGCTTCTTATACACCCTCACATACGCCTTAACAATTGACTTAACTCCTTCAATATTTTTTCTCAGGCGTACCAGATGTTGATATTTCTATTGGAGCTGATAGGAAAATGGTCGCTGTTATAATGACTGGCCAGTCATTTTCACATAAAATCAACCTTTATACATTCTGTCAAGGGTCTAATTCAAGTGCAGAGGGGGATAGGTAAATGATTCGCAAGTACAAGAAACTTGCTCATTTCCCAGGAAAATTCACTTTGGTGGGTAAATCCCATGAAGTGTACCTTTAACTTGAAATTCCGTTCTTGCTCCCTTTAATCTACCAGTGACAGCGTTCTCTCTCATTAATTGTTGCATATCATTATTTCGCTTTCTTTCATAAATCAGCCAGTTTGGCGCCATTTGTGCCGGATGTCATCAAGTTATCCTTCCAGACGAGATGAGCCAGTGTAAGCAAGGTCTGGCTTTTCACGACAGCCCGGAATGTTTCCCACCTTCTGACATTACGTGAATTACAGACTACCAAGAAAACAAGCAAACTGATTTTTGTTTACAAACCTTGGGCATCAAACAGGACTACAAACCACGACTGCCACGTGCCAGACAGACACGGGTCAACTGGGCCAAAGAGACACCAATCCTCAAAGCCCAACCAAGACACAGTTACAAATATAATTGGCCTGCTATGGACGATATGAGTGGTGAAATGGTTGAAAATTCCACTACATGAATTCAAGTTTATTTGAATTTGTATTTTTATTAAAGTCTTTCTTTTCTGCGAGAGGAGAGTATACAATAGTCATCTCCTATAATCACGCCATTGCATAATCATTGATACGGGTAATAAACTCATCAAAACACGGAAATATATTTCTACAATTGACTTTACAAGAAGTATAGTACCACCGTTACTCCAAGCGTACTTCATTTATTTTTTGCAATAAAAACACCTGTAAGGCATTTGGTATCGCTTTCTTATAAAAATACTACATTTACATACAAGTCACCCTAATCATGAGGAATACACAAGTGAAAATACAAAATATTCTCTGCCACTCTTTAATCAAAATTCCACGTTTTCTGTATTACATCAGTTCCTTTTTCCAATTCCAGCACAGGATTCATATTTCTTTTCTTAAGCTGTTTGAGAAGAAATGGTGGCAATTAGACTTGTTATGTGCTGTTATATATCTTTGTGTACAAACTTCACCTTCATGTTTAACAGACAACACACTGTTCACTGTCCTCTTCATGGACATATGTCCTCCATGCTTGACTCAAGCATTTTAACATTTCTGTTTCTGGCCATCTCCAGCAAGACCAGACAAAACTGATATGTCATCTTTCAAGCAATGTCTCTGTAAGCGGGGTCGCTAGACAAAATTTATTTTTGCTTTTTAAACATTAAGTTCAAGAAGCATAATGTCATTATTTTAGAGTTTAACAAATTTTTTGGGGCGGAGAGGAAATGTCAAATCCACAGCGTGGGCAATTTTATAGCAATAAAAACAACAACAAAATTTCTTGGAGTCAATTGTAAATCTCCTCCACCTATCACATCAATATCTTATACATTTTTCTATTTTAGTAAAGAACTGGATGCCAAAAAATGTGATGTACTCAAAATCAGGGTCGTTTGTGCTTATTAGCCAACACATCAATTTTGTCTGGCCTAGAGGTTGGAAAGCTACATGGGATAGTTCAACATCACATCCTGTTTTGTCTGGCCTAGAGGTTGGAAAGCTACATGGGATAGTTCAACATCACATCCTGTTTTGTCTGGCCTAGAGGTTGGAAACCTACATGGGATAGTTCAACATCACGTCCTGTTTTGCCAACTCCAACAACATAGGGTCGTCGAAAAATTTGTTGATGCTGACATCTTCACTAAGACCCTGGAAAGAAGAAAAATTTAATAGATCTTTAAAAATATGACAAGTTTGCACTGCTCACTTCAAACTGATGTTTAAAATAGTTACATTTGGGGGAAGATGTTAAAAAATTTTGCCAAGTTTCCTCAATTTAGGTTTCAATTTGCTTAGCATTATCATTATTTAGCCTGGGAAAAAAAAAAAAAAAAAAAAAAAAAAAGCATGGGACAGTGTCATAAAACAACTTTTAACTGAAAAATTTTCTTAACTTTTTGGTCACATCTGACCCAAGATAAATCAGTAGTATTCAAAGTAAAAGGAACACTTAGCCTGTTTTATAACCAGAATGAAACGGTCATGTTTTATATCAACTTTAGTCAGAAAGTTTAGAGCGAGATTCCTTCTAAAGTTTGCTTGAGTGAGCAGCCTAATGACAAACCTTTCTTCTCCTGGTTTTGATCATGAATTCCCTGGCCAGAGCAGTGGCAGGCTGGGGCTCCAGGGGACGAATTATGATACTCTTGTCCAAGGGGTCTCCAGGTACAATCTGGAATACATTTGAGTATGGATAATTCCCCTGCTATTCTGATAACATAGTTTTACTTTTCATTGTTGTGGAACAGTTTGAATGTTAAACTGAGTATTGCCCCATACCTGCCAGTGATGGAATACAGACAGACAGAAAGCCTGTCCCTGTGTGTGGGTCCTCAAGTCTGTCTCAAACCCAAAGGAATCTATGGCAGGAATGAAAGCTTTGATTGTGTACAGTGGTGAGCCTGGGATTGGAGCGTCTTGAGTCACATGACCCCTGTGGACCAGAAAATAAAAGTGAAATTATTATAAGAAAAATAAATAAATAAATAAAAACCTTTTGAAAAAAAAAATACATTGTAATACCTACTACAAATAGCTTCGCGATTTCTTTAATAATTAAACAAAAAGAAAATCTTTGCTTGTGTTACTAGCAACGAAATGCAATTTTAAGTTTTTTAGTATCAATTAAATCTTTAAGGATATTACAGTGTTTCCCAAAAACGAGCATTTCTGTTGAGAAAGAGACAATAACACAAAAATCAACAACTTTTTCCTACTCATCCCATCCACTGTATATTCTTTGTTCAATATCTGTACATATATGGCAGCTTTGCTGTCTACTTTCCTCACCTTCTCCTAGCCAGTACAGTATACACTGCAGACACACAGTCAGCAGGGGCCTGAACCTCCACAAAGTAATATGGCTCCATCAGACGGGGTGTGGCCTGGAAAACAGACAGGGAAAAAGATGATTTTTTATCGTCAAATACTCCTCTATAATAAGACTAATTATACAGATTTAAAAAAAACAAAGACAGGATATCATGGACCAACTGCCAAGATGTATAACCATAATGACAGAGACAGGGAAATGAAATTTAATTAATTATCTTCGTTTGTAAATTGAAAGAAATCCAGAGAAAATGTTAATATCTAAATCTGTTTCATAGATGGTAAGAAAAAAAAACATTTAAAGTACAATCCCAAACGATATGTTCATTTACTGTAACCACCATCCATAGGGTGTTAATCATGGCTTTATATATCTCAACATTTAAAAGAGAGAGTAAGCCCCATTCCAAACCATGTTTTTCTTTGCCAGTAGCACCCATTATTGGGTATCAATTTGGCTACATCAACTTACCATTAGGAAAGCAGAGTATGCCACTCTCCTGGCTGTTGGAATAATCTGTCCACCTCCCCTGTGGATCGGTTCCTGGGCTATCACTGCATCCAAGATCTTAAACTTCACATTTCGGATCGCTGGGGAGAAATGAATTTCAAATATAAATTAGGCAACTTAAAGACAATATTGTGCTATGTAAAAAAATTCTATTAAAGGGATAATAGCTCTTCGTATGAGATGTATGTTTCACATTAAAACATTGTAAGAATGAAGTAATTTTTTCTTCAGTAAACAGTTTATATTGAGATTACTTGGCGATCTCAATATATTAGCTGTTGACTGAAGAAAAAAAAATCAAATCATTCTTATATTATAAAACAGCTGATGAAATTCTTCTCTGAAAAACGTTTTAAACAACTCATAGAAATATAATAAACATTCTGTTTTACCACAAAAACAGCAGTTAAAGTAATTATTCAGGATTTTTTTTAAAATCAGGGACTTAATTTGAATGAAAAAATGGTTATGGAAATACTACTGGTTAGTATGAAAAAATTGTTGTTTTTTTATTTACCCCAGGAAATTCATTTTTTGGCCAAAAGGAACAGTTCTTATTCCTTTAATGAATTGGGGCATTTCATACATTTTAAATTATGTTAACCTTTGCATTCCATTGGTACAACAATGAAATATTTATGTAAAGCTACATTAAACTTGTATTATGTAAAAATGCTCTGTTTATCAGTCATATGGCAACTGGCTGCGCGTAGGAAGATATTCAGAACGGAGCGCGTGCGCTGAGATGACGTCGCGGTTGAAATTTTGTAAATTTCGCAACCAACGCGGAAATGAAAGAATTGTACTTTATTACCTCTGTTGGTGCTTATGAAAAATTAAGACACGGTAGCAGAGTTTATCACGCGTCTGTAAGTGTGAGATTTACCCAGAATCAAAGTGAAATGAAGGAAATATAACTCGACAAAGTCGGCCAACATGCCGATTATTATCCATAGCAACACCGTAACATTTTGAGATATCTCCTATCACAGAGAGTGTGCACCTTATTCCAGTCGATAGAAGATGACTTTTAATACGCAAAATAAACCTACCAAGTTTCATCAGAATTTATTCTGGCAACTTTTTTT